AAAAAAAAATTGGGGTAATCAAGTTTCACTTGCGGAAACCTGTTGCAAAAATTAATGATTTAAAAGCTAAACAATGTACGTCTGAATTAAAGTATTTAATTTTCATTTGTCCTCGTCGTTTGTGATATTCAAGTTCAGAAAACCCTAGTCGATTATTCAAAGATATAAAGGTAAAAACGGATAATGAAATACATTTACAATTCTGATTTATTTATTATTAACAGTAATGGAAGGTGCCCTCGTGGTTTAAATTATGGAGACAAATAAATTTTAAATTTGGTAACTATTAAGCTAGAAAATTAAAAACAAGAGACCGTCATGTATTTAAAAAATACAAGCTGATTATAGACCGTCATTTCGTATTAACAAAAATTGAATTATGTAGGATAATTAATTTTTTGTGTTTGCAAAAACACATAATTGGCAATTGAATAAAACTATTTTAAAATTATTTGCCCCGGGTGAGGCTCGAACTCACGGCCTTCAGATTATGAGACTGACGCGCTGCCTACTGCGCTACCGAGGCACTGTATAATGTGTTGTGACTATCTTACTAAAACAATAATTTCGGTAAGTTTACCTGCGTGCTTGAATTCCCATAAAACGATCTCAGTTGAACCCGGCCATTAAATTTTATGGTTGAAAATAAGAAATTCAAAATTAAGTCATTCTTTCGTGTTACATTAGTTATAAGATTTAGTTTTTATTATGAATATAGATACAATTTTGGCGACTTAGATCTTTTGTTGTTAAAGAGGAAGCATAATATTTTTAATTTATTACACACTTTTAGGGACTAAGCCTATAAATATATTATAAAATCGACTCACGATACTTAAGTTTTATTTAATAATCGATTTAGGCTTCAGGAAAAATATCTTCAAAATCACAGTACAGGAAGTTATGAAACAAAACAAAGTTTTTTCATGTGTTCCTGTTAAAAATTAGCAGATAAAAAGTAGAAGGGAAGTGTCAAAATAGTTAAACAGTTTTAAGCAGATTTTTTTCTTTTACTTCAAAGTTTTATTAATAAGTAAAACTTCTTTTTGTTTTTTGAAATACCTACAAAAAAACATAAATTCGATGAGCATAAACAGAATTTCGCATTATTTCTTTTTACAAAATATAAAAGTAAGAAGTAACGATCTACTAGTTGGGTCATCTGCTGATATTTTAGGTAACGATATTTACAAATGGAAGATTAATTTCATAAAATATTCTAGACGTTTTTTTTTTTTACAGTTATTTACATAACGGCTCATAAAACGGCTCTGAGTATTTTTTTCAAGTACAAACGTTTAGCTCATAGCTCCATCATCTCTTGACCGATTAGAGATCTAATTACAGTTTTGGACTAAGAAGGTCAATCCCTTTCGATTGATGTATTTGACCACTCCCAAAGTCTCATAGATTTACTCTAATCCTGCCTAAAAGAATTTCATGTGCCGCGGCTATTGAGTATTTCCTCTTGTTTTCAAAAATAATTGTTCAAAAGCATTATATTGCACAATTTTGACTTTTGGTGCATTTTATAAACTAATGTAAATTTTGTTTGTAGCTAAGCTCAAAGCTACACAATGGGCTATCGGTGCTGTGCCTACCACAGGTATCGAAACCCGGTTTTAGCTGTGCCACTGAGGGGGGGGGGGGCTCTTGTAAATTATACAGCACGCTGTTGGCTCATAACTTCAATTGTCTGGCGCACTTATATACAAGAATAGAGGGCGCCTAGCAAATATTGGATTATTCGTGATGTTCCCCGATCTTTCTAGAACTCATTACGTGTTACCAGAATCACGTGACTTCCGCTGTCGTAACACCTTCTTATTCAAATCATTTATCTAGAAAAGTATATTTGTTTTTATTCTAATATTTCATAAGAAATCAGGAGGCAGCATTGTTCTATTCACTAACATTAAAGAAACTAAGTTTAAAGTTGTTTAGCAGTACCGAATATTTTGATTGAATTTTAATTGGGATTGGATAGCAGACAGAGAGATTGAAGAAATAGATGGACAATTGAGTCAAGCGCGGTAGTAAGTAAAGTGCGTGCATCGTTCGTTGTAAATTATAGCGTGTGTTTAAGTTAATATGACTGTGGAAATTAAGTGTATTGCGAAGTTGAATTGAAAAAGAATAAACTAGTTTTGTTTGAGAAATGACTTGTATCCCTGAAGTTCTGCGGAAAGAATTTTTACGAGTAATTAACAAACGACCAGAGACGTAACAAAGGGAATGTTATGTAAGTGCATGTAGAAATATTTAATTCAACAGGGCATGGTTTAAGAAATTATAAGTATATACATCTATTATAAAGTAAAAGAAGAAAAGGCCGAGAAAATATAGGAATTCCCAAAGACTTCCGGTCAAACCTATGTATAGATATATATATATACACACACACACATATATATATATATATTTAAAATGAAACTTTTAAACCAGTAAAGTATTATGATTAGGGATATAAGCTGTACAAATAACATGTTTGAAGTTTTGGTAATACTTTTATATTACGTGGTAAAGCTGATGAAAAAGTATGCTACGCAGTTGCATGTGAGTAATCCAGTTACTGATTTCTATCGAATGAAAACTTTACAGTCTGTATCAGAGTATCTCCTGACGAGGGTTTTTATTTGTGGCTGAAAATTTGAAGTAGTACAACAAATACAATCATGGCAGTTAGAACAAAAATATATAATGTATTTGAACGTTTGAGAACAAGCTGTGTGAAAACAGTTCAATAAACATGTTACAAAATTATCATAATGCTAAATAAAAAATATCTTTGTCTTTTATTTAGTTACTAAAACTATTACTATGGTTTGAAATTCACAACTTAGCAAATCGCGGAGAATAACATAACATAATGTTTTGGGACAACGTGGGACCTATTTGTCCATCTCGGCTATTTCATCCTCTAAACTAAATGAAAATAAAAAAATAAAAAATTAAAGCCAGCCCTTATCATTCTTATACTTATCAAGCCTTTTCTTAAACTGACTTAAATATACTGTCTCTAAAACATCCGAAGGCAACCCATTCCAAAAGCAAACAACTCTGTTAGAAAAATGAAACTGTCTTAGCCGAAGATGACTCCTACCTTGCCAAATAAATAAGAGGAATGTGAAGAAAACATTCATGATAAAAGATGGTTTTTTCATGTTCTGTCAGGCCTAACAATCTTCCTCACCTCGCTGGTTTATGTAATTTACAGCATACTGTAAAGTTTACAGTATTGGGCAGCCATAGGTCCAGCTGAAGGGACTAGTTTAAAAAGAGAAATAAAGATAGACTGGGTAGTGATTTGTGGTAAAAAACAAACAAACAAACTAGACTAAAATGCTCATTTTAAATATATTTAATTTAAAATTTGAAGTGGTCTAATTAAAAAGAATGTGTTAAGAAACATCTGTAAAATAATCAAATCTATTTTTTATTTTACTAGATAAAGTATTACATAGTTTATTAGTTTTGTGAGAGCGCGCTGTAGTCCAAGCACTGAATTGTAGAACTGGAAGTATATTGTAATATAAATTATAAGTTTATTATAAAAACCAAGTCAATTGCTTACGGTATTGAAATCGTAGATTTTTACGTACGTTCCTTTTGTAAGTATGAAAATTTGTTTATTTTTTGGGTGGAATATACACACACACACACACATATAATTACACTTTCTATTAACTCTAAACAGTAACAATGGAATGTTTAACTTTTAAGTTGGTTTGGTTTTTCTTCACATCTGGTTAGTCCTTTCCCATAATATAACTATAAAGTATAAGTTATAACAGTACAAGTTGAATATACTTATATAGTCTTTGAAGTTTCAGTCATTCTTTGATTCAGTTTTTAAGGTTCAAAGTGACTTAACCACCTCACTATAGCCTAAGCATTTGCTAGTAATACTGATACTAGTGTTAGTGATAGTAAAGTCTTGTGGAAATAATATTAATAACGTTGTGATCCAGCATATCTTATTAAATTGGTGGATGTCCACTGTGATGAATGTAAATGTACAGTAATATATTATATCCTGAGTTAGCTCAAATATCAATCTAGGTACTCCTTTTTTGTACAGTTTACACTTAGCATTATAATAATAGTAAGTGTCAAATTATAAAAAGAGTAACTAGCTCGATATTTGGGATGAATATGAGTGTACTTCTTACCGTATCTTGTTACTCTTAACCTTAGTACCTATAGTTAAGTTTAAGATCTCTATATAAATTTTAAAATTCATGCCCAGTGCCTCTTTGATTATAAAAGAACGATGGACAACAAAGGACCATTTGATCCTTCAAGGGTGTTTTCACACACCCACTTTCGAGAAAAGTAAAAATTATAACCAACTTTCTTTTCAATGGCAGTGGAAACAAAGCATGAATAAATGTTAGAATTCTACACGTGTGGTCATTTGTAAAGAAAATGTAACATTCATGTTTTGTTTTTCTTCCCCAAGTGTAAAATAAATGTATTTTTAGAAGTCTTTTTGAAAAACAAACTTGGTTCTATAAGATGAAGTTTTCAGTTAAAAACTTTTTCAAGTAAGTTTTGTGTTATGTCACAATGAAAAGACAGAAATTTTCTGTTTTTTTCACCACTAATACAAATGTGGAAAAACGTTCATTTACAATTTCAAGGTTTCTGTTCCACAGTCTTCATACCCAGTGTGAAGATAGTAGATGCTGAACACAAATTTTGTATTAATTGATGTAGCTACTTAACAATATGTTTTACATTTAATGTTTGTCACTTCTGACTGCTTGACAATGTGTGTGTGGCATATCCTTTCATGATAGAAACACTGTTTTAATATTTATTACACCCTTCAATATAAAATTTTTATTTTGTCATTACTTACTTTATAAAGATACCATATTCAATCAAAAATTTTTTTTTCTGGTATGTTTATAACCAGTTTCATATAATATTTCAAACTTCTCACAAATGTAATTAATTAATTATTTTACATGCAACATGAAAACACCATTAGAAAGTGTGTCCCAAATTATCCAGCAATAAATTGTAAGCATTTGGCTTAACTGGTTATTTATGACTATCTGACATGGTCCTTTCAGTCAAGCACAAGTAGCTAGAGATGCTCAGGTCATGACTAACACTAGTAGCTTGAGTAACAATAGTCACTTGATGAGGCAAGGCCATGAGTATCACTAGTCGCTTGATGTGGTGACAGGTCATTTGTTCTTCTTATAGTTGAAGCTTAGGCCATACTTCCCTATAAAACAAACTTCCATTGTTAAAATATCTAACTTAGAGGCATTTTTAATACAGGTATACATTTGTATGTTTATGTTCAATATTAACAGTAATTATACTTGCTTTTTAATAATAAAGAAATGTCTTGCTACATGGCTGCTTCCAAAATTTCCCAGAATTACAAACCTGTTAAACTAAGTAAAAGAATAGTGACTGGATTAGGTGATTCTTGCACTTATAGATCTGTGTGTATATATTCAAAGAACCGATATACTTTTGTTTTGGTAAGTTTATGGTGATCACGATGAACTTAAAGACTTCATAATAATCAACATAAGATCTTATTACTGCACAAACATATTCATTCTAATTGACACAGTCAATTATGATATGAGTTATAATTATTATTCTAGAGCAATATAGAACTCTTCAAATATGTATCAAACATTTTCAGTTTATAACAAATGGCCTGAAAAATGTAATATGATCACCATCCACCTACCAAAAATACATCATGATCACCATCCATCCACAAAAATCACCAAAAATACTTCATGACCACAACCAACCCACCAAAACAACCAAAAAGTAAATCATGATCACCATCCATCCATGAAAACAAACAAAAGTACATCATGATCCCCATCAACCCACCAAAACAACCAAAAATCCATCATGATTACATCACCATCTACCTACCAAAAAAAACAAAAGGTATATCATGATCAACATCCACCAACCAAAAGTGAATAGTTTATAAATATTATTTAAAAACTTTTATTTTAATATTTAAATTGTGGGGTTTATTTGTTTTGAAATATATATACTTGTGATGTACTTTTCTATTTAACTACTTGTATTTTGGGATGTCTGTATATGTAATCAGTATTTATGTCTCTTCAGAGATGTACTGTTTTACTATTGTTTTTTTTTCTTTCTCTTTTCTTCTTCCAAACACTTTTCACTTGATTGCTATTCCTTCATTTCCTGGTGGATTCACTTGAAACTTGGTAGGATTATACCTTGGTTCAGTACCCCAGAAACTTTTACATTTTTTTTTTTTTGACCTTTTTAAGGATTTTATGGGGTCAAAGGTAAAACAATCCAAAAATTTATATTTTGGGTTTGTGTACAGCCATATTTACAGCAATCAAGATGAAAGTTGGCAAAAAATATAAATTTTCATGCGCCAAACACATTGACATACAAATGAGTTGGATTTAACTATTTTGAGTCTCTTTAGGGGGTCAGAGCTCACAAAAAAGCATAAATTGGGGTTTTTGGTTAATTACTAATTAATCATATTTTGACCAATTTACATGAGATTTGGTGCAAAGATACCTTTTTATAGGTCCTACACATTGGCAAACAAAATTGGTGGACTTGTCTATTTTTAGTAATTATAGGGGGTCAAGATGCCACAAAAGCATAATTTGAGGGTTTTTTGACAATTATTCTGCCATATCTTGGCCAATTTACATGGCATTTGGGAGGAAAATACTTTTTTTTTATGGGTCAGAAACAGAGATATAGACAAATTTGGAATTTATGTCTTTTGCTCAATTTTTTGCTCAAAGCACAATTTGGGGTTTTTGTGAACTATTCATGTGTGTGTATGTCAATTAACATACATGGGATTTGATACAAAAATTCCATCTTGCAGGTCCTAAGCAGTGATGTAAACAATTCTTAATTTTTCTGGTGTCAAAATTGGCCATATTGAGTTTGCGTGGTGAAGATGTTGGCCTCTTTAATTTGTGTTTTTTCTAAAGTTCCATACCTGTGGTCTACAGTATTTTATGTTGAGTGTTTATTAATCTAACAAAATCCTTATATCTCAATGTCTAGTATTGTGTTTTACTAATTATATTTTTTAAGACTGTTTTTGGTCCTATTTTTTATTTTATTTTGTTCCTTATACTTTCAGAATGTGTGTAGTATCCAAAGCATTGAGTTTGTAAATTTGATCTGTCTATCATGGAGTTTCAAGCAGTTGTCATGGCAGCAGGGCGTGGGTCCCGTATGACAGAACTAACAACAGGATGTCCAAAGTGCCTTCTACCTGTTGGAAATGTGCCTATGATTTGGTATCCCCTAAACCTTCTAAAAAGAAATGGTTTTCAAGGTTAGCTTTCTCACAGTTACATTCTCAGCTTTGATACAGACAGTGATGTTGTAAATGTAAGGTTTTATTAAATATTTTGTTAAGATGTTTGTATTCCCTTGTTAATAGCAAAGCTCAATGAACTTTAAGGATGTGACATATTGATTACAAATCAGTTCTCTTTATGTACAATGTATTGATTACAAATCAGTTCTCTCTATGTACAACATATTGATTACAAATCATTTCTCTTTATGTACAATGTATTGATTACAAATCAGTTCTCTCTATGTACAACGTATAGATTACAAATCAGTTCTCTCTCTATGTACAACGTATTGATTACAAATCAGTTCTCTCTATGTACAATATATTGATTACAAATCAGTTCTCTCTATGTACAATGTATTGATTACAAATCAGTTCTCTCTATAGCATATTGATTACAAATCGGTTCTCTCTATGTACAACGTATTGATTACAAATCGGTTCTCTCTATGTACAACGTATTGATTACAAATCGGTTCTCTCTATGTACAGCGTATTGATTACAAATCAGTTCTCTATGTACAGCGTATTGATTACAAATCAGTTCTCTATGTACAGCGTATTGATTACAAATCAGTTCTCTATGTACAGCATATTGATTACAAATCAGTTCTCTCTATGTACAGCGTATTGATTACAAATCAGTTCTCTCTATGTACAGCGTATTGATTACAAATCAGTTCTC